GGACCAGAAGTGGCTGAACTCTTTAAACTGATAAACAGAACTTGTTTCTAGCCAAGTTGCTCTACTACAAAATCAATAAATGTATCCCTAGAAGACATTTTTCTGTCCAGAATCGTGGCACCGTTCCAACTTTTGTTCCCAAGCAGCATTTTGTACGCGTCCTGGAAATGGGACAGGACTTTCTGAGGATCCCAAGAAGGCTAGGATTGTGGGAGGAGCTTTGGCGTTGGAGTAGGAGAATGGGGTTCAAATCCTCACTCCTCTCCTTGCTCTCTGTGACTCCAAGCCCTTGACTTCTTAATGTGTAAAACAGGAATTGTTATACCCTACCTTCTATGGTTGTAATGAGGATGAAATAAAATAACTGGTGCCAGGTAACTGGTATGTAGGAGGTGCTCAGTCAATTCCCTCAGTGTCCTGGGAGGAATAAGGGCAATTCCATGACCTCAACAGCAATAAGGAGCGATAGAGGGAAGCTGTGTCCTGCTCCTTCCCGTGGAGCATTGAAAGTCCAAGCTCTTAGCAGATTCACAGGAGGCCCGGGGATGTCAGCCTCTAGGAGGAGACTCAGTCTGGGCTAAGGGCGCAGCTCTATGAGAAGAGGACAGGGACTGAGTTACCAGCTGCTTGGTTCCAGGAGGAAGAACAAAAGAACTGTGCCAGGAGCAGGAATTTAAGAGGGAGGGGTTCAGTAGGATTTCTGGTTTGGAACCGGAAAACCTCTACATGGGCTGACAGGGATGGCAGGCAGCAGTCTTGGATGCCTTGGGGGTGGCTTTCGGGGAGGGCTTGTATGTGATAGATGCAACTGCTACCTAGGCACAGAGCAGCCATTTCTCTGTCCATCCTATTCCCATGCTCGTCCTCCCCACCATCCATCCATTCACTCACCTACATAAGCATTAACTCTCCCATCTATCCATTTTCCCATCATCCATCTATCTACCCATCTACCTAACTGTCTACACAGTCATCCATCCATTCACGTCTCCATTTATTAATAGTAAGTATGGTAATAATAAAAATCACAGTGGCTAATGTTTATTCAGTCCTCTTTGTGCCAGCCACTGTTGGAAGTGTTTCCTAGGTATAATTTAGTCCTCACAATAAGCTTAAGAGAAAAGTTCTATTGTAATTATTATTCCCATTCAGATAAAAAGAAAACTGAGGTCCAGAGAAAAGGATTGATTTGCCCATGATTACACAGCCAGGAAATACCAGAGCTGAGATTCAACCGAAGACATCTGGCTCTGGAGCACACACTGAATGGCCTTCCACAGACTTACCCACCTACTAACCACTTAGACTCCGTGTCTCTTACCCTTCCTCTATTCAAACCCATGTACCCTCCTGCTCTTTTCACCCAGCACCCATTCTCCCCTCTTATCCTCTAACCACTCAACCATCTTTATTCCCTGCTAGTTATCCATTCCTCTTCCTCTTCCTGATCCTCTGTGCACCCACAAGTCCATCAATCCATGTACCCACCCTTTTTGGCACAACCTACACATACTTGCGTCTAACAACCATTTACTTGGCACCTTCTAACCTAATGATGTTTAAAGAGAAATAAACTTAGTCCCTGACATCAAAAGCTCACTTTTTAGTAAGGCAAACAGGGAAGTGATCCAATGGGTGTAATTAGATGGCATACATGCTAAGGAAGAAGTGGCACCAGGATGGTATGGGTGTACTGTAGAAGGGCCCTTGGCCTCCAGAAGAATCCTTGAGGATTTGGAGGCTTACCTAGATGACCCAGGTAGAGGAGGTGAGAAATGATGTTCTAGACAGCAGGAGCCTCCTCTGCAAAAGCACAGACCCAGCTGTTTCCTAGCTCTGGTGGAGCTGGTGGGAGGGCGCTGGTCCCTTCCCCTTTCATAGGCTGTGGAAGGAGAGTGCTGGCCAGGCCATGAGCAGACTTCTCTGAGTCCCCCATAAGGATGCAGACAGATGCAGTCAGGGGCTGGCCAGAACGGGGATGTGGAGCCAGCATCTCGGCTGAGACTCGGGGCAGATCTCTGAAATAGAAGTCAAATCCAAAGTTCCTTTAAGACCCATTCACTACTTGGCTTCCCCCAGAGACATCCAGCATTTGCTATTCTGTGCACTTTCCACGTATTTGCAAGTTTTGATTGAACAAACACTGTCTGGGGCACAGCGAACCCAAATAATTGTGTGCCTGTCAACAGTACATGTTAATTGGAGAGTTGTAGAGTCCGCGGGACGGGTCACAAGGGAAAAGCCAATTACTCCATGTACCTGTTTGAAAGGCTCCCGCTCCTGGAATCCTGACTGGCATTAGAAAGCTCTGTATTGGTCCGTGTTATTGATTTTCCTCCTGCCTCAGTTGATGGGCTCATTAATTGACAATTACCTTTTTCCCTGTGTTGGGAGAATTGACAACAATGACCCGAAGTGTTCAAGTTTCATTTGAGCCGAGCTAAGCCTGTACCTGTTTAACCTATAACAAGTCCCAGTAGGCAACTCTGGGGAGCGGAAGCCTCCAAGGAGGCACCAGGGATGTTTGGGGTGAGCTTGGGTGCTATCGGGTGCTGACTAGGGCATGGAGCCTGCCAGGGCCAAAAGCCTGAGGGTGGAGTTGGGCCCAGGCAGACTGAGGCCTATACACAAAAGCTCCCATTGAGACCAATTCATGTGTGGCTCCAGCAGGCAGTGAAGCAGGGGATGGCTGTCTACTGAACACCTGCTATGCACCAGACACTTGCTCCTGATTGCACTCCCCATAAACTTTTAATATTACAGGTATGCTCTATATCTGTTGTATACTGTATGTATGCTTTATATGTAAAACAAGTAATATTTTTTGTTCTGTTCCCCAACACACAGAATCAATTGTTGCTGCATTAGTGGGCAATATGGTCCCCACTGAGAATGTATGGTGTAGAGAAACTAAGGCAAGGGCCCTGGAATATAGACTTGGTTGGGTTGGGGTCCCACTTACTCCAGACACACAGGGTCTAGGCAGTAGAGCTTGGTCAAGAATAAAGGCTTAGGCATCCAGCTTGGGTTCAAGTCTCTCCTCTGGCACTTAAATGTTTGGCATAACCTCTCTGAACCTCAGTCTACCCATCTGTTGAATGGATCTGGAAACAGGATTCTCTTTTCAGTGGGTCATAGTGGTAATACAATGAAGTAATGTATGTAGAGTGCTTGGCACACAGTAAGCTGTCAATAAATTATTGTGGCTACTGTGGTCATTACTTCCGGAACCCACTCGGTGATGAGGCAAGGATTCTTGGCATGCTCCGTGATCCTCAAGGGCACAGCTATATCTTATTAGTCTTGGTAGCCCTGGCCCTTGGTGGGGGCTGGGCAGCATCTGTTGCTGTGTGAACCGTCAGTTCTTGGGCAGATTTGTTCTGGCTCTGATCAGGCCAAGCAGCAGAAGAAAGGATCAGGGACAACAGGGACTGCCCACGAGCACCTGGGGGCCACGTGTTCCTCTGGGAACACCGTGTCCAGCCACCAAAAGGAAATTGCTGTTTTAGCCTCTGCAGATGTGTGAGCGACTTCAGAGACTTCCTTAAACTTCCGCCTCCCTCTGAAGTTGCCCAGACAGACCATCTGCCCAAGGCTGACCCAATGTGCCCAAGGAGTCTGACGTTTTCTGCTTAGATGAGGGAAAACCCTGTTATCTAATGCCTGAGGGTCGGGGCTTGAAGGCTCAGTGATAGCTGGCGCCAGTCTCCTCCTCTTAGCCCAGCCTGGAGGTCAGACACTTTGGCATGGGATCAACAGCTACCCAGCCTGAAGAGTCATGCCTCTCAGACCAAGGGGCAAAGTTTACAAGGACCAAAACCTTCCCCAGAGCTCTGTCGTGGGAGGTGGCCACTTGAGTGTTGCCAATACCAACGGGACTGTTGCCGATTTATAACAGCTAAAGTTTCTAATTCAAATTCAGCAGAGGCATTCCCTCTTCCCACCCCCTGCCCTCCCCCAGTTATGCCTGGCGTTTGCCACAGTGCAGCCTCTTGGAGACTTGAGAGTTGTCACTGTACACCACGGCAGAGAAAACCCACCTCATCACAAACCCACCCAGTAGGCACAAGCCACAGACTTGGCTGGGTGCACTGGTTTTCAATTATTTTTAAGCTGTTTATCCCCTTCTTCAAATGAAATCTTATGTGGAGGCCCAATTTATAGCCAACAGTAACAAATAGCCCCAATGTGTGACAGGAACAGAAATTAACCCATGTGTGAATATCTCCAGCTTCCTCCCAGCCCATGCTTCTTGCTTTCCAGACAGGCCTCAAGGGTTCTTCTTTGTGTTTGCGATCACTATAGCCAGCGAGAGAAAGAGAAGTGAAAGAAGCCTGACACCTGGTTGCTCTTCTTCCCTGTAACTCCTTCTCTCCCTCCCCCGAGACCCTCAAAACTCCAAGGATGCAATTTGAAAGTTACTAGTTGGTGGTGATGGTTTCAAATCCCAGCCCAGCACTCACTAGCCGGATCACCAGGAACAAGTCATTTTGCCTCCCTGAGCCTCTCTTGGCCATCTGTTCAAAATGAGAAAAAGAATCACGTTACCCTTTCTCGCTGCACTGCCACCAGGACAGAATGGATCTGCCAGTGTGAGAACAAAGTCTGAGGGGCTGTCCTGGGAACTGGGAAATCACCCTGTTGAGTTTTGCGTCCCTCGGACCCTTTAAGGTGGCAGGTGGCAGAGGCAGACACTCCACTAACTGTTCAGGATGCCAAGCATGGGAAATCCAAACTGCTTATGTTTTGCTTGGAGAAACTTTTTAAAAAAGGAATAGCCCTTTCCTTTCCCACTCCATGGAGCAGGACCTGCTCTGCACTCTGTTCTGAACATTTCGTTCTCTGCGTTTTGAAGCTATTCCTGTTCTGGTTTTGTTTGTGATTCCTATTGCTGCAGAGGAGAAATTTCAGCTACTGGGGCGGTAGCTTGGAGGCCCCTGACGGACTTTTCTGGGGTTCAGAGCAGGATGGTTTTAGGTGCTGCCCAAACATCGCTCTACCCTGGATATTCTTCCATGATCCCAGTCTTCCACGGGAGGCAGCAGGGATGAGACTGAGGTCCCTCACTGTGCAAAGAGGTAGGAATTGATGAGTGTCTCTGCGCAGGTCCTAGGGACATTTGTGTGGGGTCTGGCTCAGTTCTCATCCCACTTACAGTGAAGAGACCTATGTGTGGGGTAGAGGGGGCTTCAGGATTGGTCTGCCTAGAAACCGGAAGTTGGAGGGACACCAGCAGGGCCAAATGGAAACCACTCACTTTTGGCAATTTGGAACGGAAGCCCCTACAGGGAACCAGTGACTGCCAAGAGTCTCCTGGTGCCATGTTCTGTTCTGGGAGCCCTCTAAATGGCAGCTCGTTACATCCTCAAGTGACTCTGTAAGGCAAGCAGAATTGTCCCCTTCTGAGGATGGGGAAACAGAGGCTTAGAGAAGTTAATGACTTACCTAAGACTCCACAGCTAATAAATGTGGTGTAGCCAGGATGGACAGAAGCCGAGAAGAGACTATCGCTCCGTGAGATGGGGGAGACATTGGGAAGAGGGGCTTCCCAGGAGCCAGACCAGTTCTTGGAATTCATGTGCCCACAGGTCAAGGTGATCTGAAGCAGTTGGCTGCATTGATTAGTAGATTAGTAGGGGGCATCATCCGTGCTGACAATGATGGGTTTTTGAGGATTACTGAGTACATGTTGGTGGGTAAGAGGAACTCTGCTGAGGAATCTGAGGAGGCTGTTTGAGCCCAACTGGGAGAAATGAGGGGAGGAGGTGGGCCCAGGATATTTTAGCAACGCTGCAGCCTTTGGAATCACTGACCACACAATGTTATTGCTTGTGTCGCATGGCTGCTCTACTGAATGGGAGGGTTCACGTTGGTTCTTGCAAGTCTGACCTTGGTCAGGGATACGGTCCTCTCTTCCATGCTACTACCACCATCACTCTAGATGTCCAGAGCCCCTCCTTCTGGTTGGGTGAAGAGTTTAAAAGCATCCTGGACTGTTGGACTCTGAATTGCCCGTTCAGGAGTGGGTTAGAGGAGGGCTGAGCAGTTTCCAGGCACCAATGGGCAACACCTCAGACTGGATGTTTGGCCAGGGACCTGAGGACCCCATCCCCAGGTGGTCCATGTGGACAATAATGGGAAGGGAACCTCAGTACTCATGTAGCTTCCTTGATGCTGTGACAGGCTTCCCAGTTCCAGCTGGGTTTCATGGTGCTGCCTAATCTCCCTGACTCTCCCCTTTTTCCTCCTGTTTATTCTCATCTGCAGTAAGAACCTCACTCTGCAAATCTGCACCCCAAAGCAGTTAAGAGCCTGAACACTGGAGCTAGCTGCTGGTTCGAGTCCCACCTCTGATACAGGCTGTTTGACTTTAGGCAAGTGACTTCATCTCTCTGCCTCAGTTTCTTCCTCTGTAAAGTGGAGATCATAATAGGATCTACCACGTAGACTTAGCTATGAGGATTAAGCGCCAAAACATGTGCTTTTCTGGGACTTCATGCTCTCCTCCAGGTGATGAAAAGTCACAGATGTTACCCTCAGTGAATTCTCAGGGTGGGAGTGATAAGGTGAACTGGGCAGAGGGGGGTCAGTGCAAAGCGAAGGCTCAGAATGGAAGTGAGTAAATGGTCAGGGAAGACAGCAGTACGATGGGAGAGTTTTAAATCTAAATTCCAGGTTGAAAAAATGCCAAATAGAGCAAAAACATGGTAGGTCTAGAGCACTGTGTCCAATCTTTTGGCTTCTCTGGGCTACATTGGAAGAAGAATTGTCTTGGGCCACACATAAAATATACTAACACTAACGACAGCTGATGCACTAAAAAAGAAAGAAATCACACACACAAAAAAATTGTGATAATGTTTTAAGAAAGTTTACACATTCGTGTTGGGCGGCATTCAAAGTTGTCCTGGGCCTCATGTGACCACGGGCCGTGGGTTGGACAAGCTTGGTCTAGAGCCTAACCCAGCATCAGGTTAGATGGTGGAAGATTGGACAGGAAGGAATGATGAGGAAGGCACTCCAGGAGGTGGGACCTGCTGAGGCAGAAGCAAGGAGGCTGGAAAGCCTGGGGGAAGTCCAAGGAGGAGCGCCTCTGTGGTTGATGTTGACAGCGGGTCCACCGAGGGGTGTTAGGTAGTGCCCAGCACAGATGCGGTTTTGTGGGCCAGGCACCACCTCAGCAGCTTACCGGGATCATTTCACGGACTCCTCATGCTAACTCCATGAGGCCTACCACGATCTGCATTTTGTAGATGCAAAATGGCCTCCAAGAGGCTAATTCCTTGCCCAAGATCCCTCAGTAAGTGGTGGCTACAGGCATCAAGTCGGTCTGTCAGTCTGTCTGTCCACAGGGCTACTCACCTTCCCAGGGCTCCACACTGTCACCCAGGTAATGCAAGAAGAGTCATGGAGAATGAAGGGGAAGTTAATTTGGCCCAAGCCCCACGGACTTGGAGAACTCGAGAGGGGCATTTCAGCGTTAGCCTTCTTAGGGCAGGCCAGCCACAGAAAGGGGCCACACACATTTGAAGTGTCCACAGATACTAATCGGCGACCTGGAAATCCAGACTCTCAGCCGCAGGTTTTTATATCCATGGTTTTATGCCGGAGACTTTGTCAGGGGCTGCCTTCTGTGTGGTTGTTCTGCTCAGCTCCCTATTCTCCTGCCTGCTAGGAGAAAAATTGTCCCTGGACCCACTTTCTCATCTGTACACTCACTGTCAGAACATCAGGTACCACACTGTTGATTCTGGTATCATCAAGGCTTGCCATGCTCCAAATGTCCATCTTCTCTTCCTTGTTGGGCCCATAATCTTTTAGAGCAGCAGTTCCCAATCCTGGACACCAGTGAAAATTAACCTAGGAGCCTTAACAAATACTGATGCCCAGGGCTTCTAGTCTGCATGAAGGCCCAGGCATGAAGCATTTTATTTATTTTTTTGTTTATTCTTTTAAGACAGTGTCTCTCTCTGTCACCCAGACTGGAGTGTAGTAGCACAATCATGGCTCACTGCAGCTTCTGTCTCCCGGGCTCAGGGAATCCTCCCAATTCAGCCTCCTGAGTAACTGGGACCCCAGTCACACACCATCATGCCTGGCTAATTTTTTTTGTATTTCGTAGAGACAGTCTTGCCATGTTGCTCAGGCTGGTCTTGAACTCCTGAACTCAGGTGATCAGCCCACCTTGGCCTTCCAAAGTGCTGGGATTACAGGCATAAGCCACCTTGCCTCTCCAGGCATAAAAATTCCCCAATAAGAAGCACTGCTTTAAAGAAATCCCTTGGAATAGGCTCTGGACCCTCTAAGCACTGCTGGGGGTTTCCTTTCCACTCACATCAGCGTGATCCATCCTATTAAAGCCCACAAAACACAAATCAAATGATTCCTGCTGGCCAGAGAATGGGTCTTCGGAAAACGGAGCTGAGGCTTGGCGGCTCGCGTCCTGGGGGGAGATCTAACTGTGTCCCTGCCAGTTCAGCTTCTGTGGCTTCAGAGTCATCAGTACTAGCATTATTCCTGTGCCATCTCACCCACGATATCCAAAGCCCCACTGAGACTTTTATTGTCCACTTTATATTGTTGAACAGGAGCCTTTGATGCTTGTGGTCGTAATTTTAAAATATTAAATTACATTGAGCATTAAGGACTATGTTTTCTGTTAGAAGACAGGTTAATTGCTGCTCTTCATCTTTAATTTTGAGATTTAAGCTGGTTTCCCATTTAGCTCTAATTGGTAGTGTTCCGGCAGCCCTCCCTGACCTCTGAAGCCTTTGATATGGTTTAGAAATCCTTTTATGGAAGCCCCTTTTTCTTTTGTCCTCCACATTTAATAGATTTGTATTTTCGCAGTCATTTTTCCTTCTGCGGAGATATTTCAAAATCACACCATGGGTCTGCAGGGAATAAATGCCTCCTTTCCAGCAAATATATATATATATTTTTTAACAACGATTGGCAAAAGAGAATTAATTGCCCCCACTCACATGCACATCTTCCTTGCTGTGTTCCATTTTCACACGGAGATTTTTAATCCTTTCTTCTGTAGCCAGTGCGAATTTGTCTGTGAATACTCATGCTCTTAAAGTGACATTCTGAAATAGACCTTAAGAGAGTATCCACTCCAATCACTCCATTTTACTGATAATAATATCACCATAATCATGCTTTATGTGTCAGGGGAGAGCACTCATTGTGGGGAGAAGGACAGGGGGTGGTAATGAGCTCGTTGTCCCTGGAGGTGTTCAAGCATAATTTGGAAGCAGCTTGTCAGAAGTATTGTAGAAGCAAATATAACATAAGAACTAAGAGGTTTTCTGTCAGGAAGACCGGAATTTAAATCCCTGCCACTCCCTGAGCCTTGAGCAACTTAGGTGTCATCTTGAGCCTCCGTTTCTTAGTCTATAAAATGGAGGTAATAATAATACTTACCACATAAAGCTATGGTGGAACTGGGTAAAATGATACCTGGCTCTTTGTAAGTGCTCAATAAATACAGGTTACTGTTATTAAATGTTATAGACGGCATCCAGGCTTCAGTGGTCAAGGAGGGTGGGAAGAGGGAAGACATCAACAAAGCGCTTTTAGAATTCCTGTTAGAGTTTACACAGCGCTTTTTGTTTTTGTTTGTTTGTTTGTTTGTTTTTGAGACGGAGTCTCGCTCTGTCGCCCAGGTTGGAGTGCAGTGGCACGATCTCGGCTCACTGCAAGCTGCACCTCCTGGGTTCAAGCCATTCTCCTGCCTCAGCCTCTCAAGTAGCTGGGACTACAGGTGCCTGCCACCACGCCCGGCTAATTTTTTGTGTTTTTAGTAGAGACGGGGTTTTACCGTGTTAGCCAGGATGGTCTCGATCTCCTGACCTCATGATCTGCCTGCCTTGGCCTCCCAAAGTGCAGGGATTACAGGTGTGAGCCACCATGCCTGGACTGTTTGTTTGTTTTTTGAGACGAAGTCTGGCTCTGTCGCCCAGGCTGGAGTGCAGTGACGCAATATCTGGAGTGCAACCTCTGCCTCCTGGGTTCAAGCTATTCTCCAGCCTCAGCCTCACAAGTACAGGTGCTTGCCACCATACCTGGCTAATTTTTGTATTTTTAGTAGAGACGGGTTTTCGCCATGTTGGCCAGGATGGTCTTGAACTCCTGACCTCAAGTGATCCACCTGTCTCAGCCTCCCAAAGTGCTAGGATTACAGGCGTGAGCCACTGCACCTGGCCAGAGTTTACAAAGTGCTCTCATGCCTGTAATTTCAACTTATCTTCACAATTGTCCTTTACCCAGACTGAGTGTGGAGACATGGAGGCTCAGAGAGGTGAAGTGCCTTGCCCAAAGTCACACAGCATACAGATTCAGACATACCCTTCCTTTCTGCTACTTTCACAAAACACTGCCATCTATCTGTTCTGTGTCCTTCTGCTTTATCATGAGGATATTTCTCAAGATCCCAGAATCTGCCTTTGCAGAGTGGGTCCTCCCAGACTCTCATTCCAAGGGAGACGTGTGCCAATTTAAATGCAGGACTTGGAGCTGTTTCTTTTATTCCCAAGTATGTAGGGCAATCAAGCAGTCCAATAATAATAATACATAATGTTGGATACTCATAATGTACTTGCTTCATGTGGCAACCTTAGAATTTTAATTTGATACAAGGACCATTATTACTCTATATTCATTAAATCCCATGTTAACCTCTTTTAAAAACCCTTTTTCTGACAATCATAGAAGACAATTTTACATGAGGAAAGTCATTTAGGGAAGAAGATCTGCTCAATAGGTTTTTCCGAGCCTGATGATGGGCTGGGCTGACCACCTCACCCGTACCCCTCACTTCCCACGTTTTCTCTCCCGCAGTTCTAGTCTCCCCTGGCAGGGTTTAACAACATCAAGTACAAGTGGGCATTCTCATGGGGGGCTTCTGGACGCATTTGTAGGAGGGGCTTCCCACCAGCTCTGATCGTAGCTCAGCCAGCTCCCAAGTGAACCCCTTGGCAGAAAGAGGCCCTGTGTGCCTCACATGCACCAATGTAATGATACCAGGAAATTTTAAAGGCTCATAATTATAAAAGATTCAACAATTAGAGGAAAGACAGAATAGTTCAGAGTGGAAGGAGAGGGAGGGGAGGTGAGGGATGAGGTGGGAGAGGGGTGGGAGAAGTGGGGTAGATCCTGCCTGACCTTATAGAATTATACACTCTGGATGGAGCTGGAGGCCATTATTCTTAGCAACTAATGCACGAACAGAAAACCAAACACTGCATGTTCTCACTCATAAGTGGGAGCTAAATGATGAGGACATATAGCCACACAGAGGGGAACAACAGATATCAGAGATGACTGGAGGGTGGGGGGCTGGGAGGAGGGAGGCGATCAGGGAAAATGACTAATGGGTACTAGGCCTAATACCTGGGTGATGAAATAGTCTGTAGAACAAACCCCTGAGACACAAGTTTAACTATGTAACAATCCCACACATGTACCCCTGAACTTAAGATAAAAGTTAAAAAAAAAAAAAAAAAAAGAATTCTACATCTAAGTTGATCAGAGGCCAGGGAAAGAGCTTGAACATGAATCCAACTCAGTTCCCTGCGGGGCCAGACCCTGTCTAAAGTCACTGAAATCCACGAGTCCCCCTCCCCTCCCTGCTTACACACCTTTTAACTCTTCACCCCGAAGGAGACAAATCTACAGGTCTAATCTGGTGCTAAACTCTGGCTCAACCAAGCGTTCCAACTGTCTTCCTGTGATGCCTCAGAGCTCCTTAGGGTGAGGAGTGAGGGGTGAGGGGTCCCCGCCCTATCGATAAACTGGGCAGTCCTACTTTTGTTTTTCAGATTGACTCCACACACACATTGATGTGAAGAAGGAATGCCAAGCCCCACGCACACTGACCCTGTTCAGTCCCCTTGTTTTGCAGATCAGGAAACCAAAGTCCAGAGAAGAACAGGGTCTTGTCCCAGGCATGTGGCTGAGTTGGAACCAGAATCCAATCCTAACTCGGCTGCAGCACACTGTGTCAATTGCATTAGCTCACGGAGCTAAGGGTGGTAACACCACCACCATCACATCCTTCACTGCTCTCAGAGGATAACCCCAGTTTATTGTGGCCTTACAGAGTACCAGAAACTTGTTCAAACAGCGTGCTTTAATCTCATTTAATCCAAACAGCAATTCTACAAGGCAGCTGTTACTGTCCCCATTTCATAGATGAGGTCACTGTGCTCAGACAGATCATCAGTCAGGGAGTGACAGAGCGGGGCTTGAACCCAGGCCACCGCCAGGCTCAGCGGCCTCTACCCTTCACCACTGTGCTTTGAGGTTTCAGTCAAAGGGATATAAAAAGTCTTAGAAACATCTTAAGTGCTAAAAAAATGCAAGACCCTGTGCTAATGCCATTATACAATGTAGATGAATTATTTGGTTTGGGGCCTTTGTTTTTTCTCTTTCATGCAGTAAAATGCCATCAGAAAAGAAAAGCTCTTTGGACTAGCAATGTATGTATGAGGCACTTATGGGTTAGAAACACATTCACTCAGAAACATTTATTTGGAACCATTTCTGGGCTCAGCACTGAGTTAGGTTCTAGGGATTCGGAGATAAACAAAACCAGTCCCAGCCCTCAAGGCACTCAGGGAGGCAAAGACATACAGCAACAATCACATTCCAGTGAAGAAAGCGTCAGGTGAAAGCATGGTCTGGCAGCCAATAAGGGCGCTAAGGGGACCTGACCCCATGTGCTGGCCCAGAGCACAGGCCCTGCTGTAGACTGCTTTGGGTTCAAACTCTTACTCTTCACTTACTAGCTGTGTGTCCTTGGGCAGTTTTCTTGACCTCTCTGTGCCTGAGTTTCCACTTCTGTAAAATGAAAATTATAACAGATGAGCAGAGATTCCTACCTCAAAGGGTTGCTGTAAATATTTCATGAGCCATGGTCCCTTTGAAAGTCTGTTGATGCTTATAGACTGTATTCCCAGTATTCCCTTCTGGGAATACTATTTTTCAGTGCAAACCATAAAAACACATAGGACTTCAAAACACATATAACTAATTATATTAAAAATAGTATCAAAATATTAAAAACATAAATTTACAATTTAGCAATGCATGTGCTTCTTTATTAAGACCTTAAATAATAAGATCCTGCCGCAGGTCTAATCGACTCCATCATTTAGAAGTGGCAATGGACATAAGTGATATTTCCAGGCATCTGCAACTGCATAATGTTGGGAATTTATCTGTCATTTCTACAGGTGACATGCAACTAAAAGAAATGCTCAATTTCAGTTAAGATTGGTGAGCACAGAGATGTCATTTTTCCCTTCCAAGTTCTTCAACCCCCTGAATTCTACCAGAGGACCTGCTGGAGGCCTGGGGACCCAGATGATTAAGTCCCAGGGCAAATGGGAGGAGGAACATGATGCTGACAGGCCAAGCAGGAGGTGCGGTCTGGGGCTGGAGGAAAAGCCCTCCCCTCAAGGGGCTTCGGGGAGAGGTTGTGAGGTCTGAGTTAGCACACTACACAGGTGTCCCGGAATGAATTATACTGGTCGAGAATAACTAACATTCAGGACCAACCATGGGCAGTTTCTGATATTCATACACTGCACCTGTCCTTGACTTGTAACAACCAGCATGATGGTTATGGGTGGGCTCTGCCTAGATTTCAATCTCAACTCTACCACCCACTCTGTATCACCTCGAAAGGGTCCCTACCTTCACTGTATCTCAGTTTCCTCATCTACGAGATAGAAAGTGTGGTCCTGATCTCACAAATGTGCGAAACAATTCCAGGAAATGCCTCAGCAAGATATGATCCACGTGGTAAATGCTCTATGGCATTAGATATCTTTGTTTGTGAAAACATAGGTTAGCCTTATAAATACCACTAGATTAGTAAACAAGAATAAGCCACTTCTCACTCTGGGAGGCCGGGGCAGGCAGATCACTTGAGCCCAGGAGTTCAAGACCAGCCTGGGCAATATGGTAAGACCCCCATCTCTAAAATAAATAAATAAAAAAAAATAAAAAAAAAATAAAAAAAAATAGCCAGGTGTGCTGTCTTGCACCTATAGCCACAGTTACTTGGGAGGCTGCGGTAGGAGGATGGCTTGAGCAGAGGAGGTTGAGGCTGCAGTGAGCCATGATCACTCCAGCCTGGGTGACACAGCAAGACCCTGTCTCAAAAAGAGGAATAAGCCCCTTTAGATAGTGTAGGCTCCTGGTTCAAAGCACAGGCTGTGGAGTGAGAAAATATGAGTTTAAATCTCAGCTCTGCCACCAAGCAGATGAGTAACTTCATGTATGTTCCTCCCCTCTCTGGGCCTCACTTTCATCCTCTGTAAAAAGAGAAAATAATACTGTCAATTGCATAGTGTGGTTGTGAAGATTAAATGAATTAATGTAATGCTTAGGACAATTTCTAGCACATGTTAAATGCTTGCCTGCTAGCTCCTATATTATTAGGACTGATACTCATTGCCTAGTGAGTGAACCTAGCAGCTTCCCAGTACTCATACTTTATTTCCTAAACTCTAATCATCTTCACATAGGGTCTAGGGAGGCACTTCATTATTTATTTATTGAATAGCTTATCTCCCAAAGCAATAGTCATAGATCTGAGATGCTGAGATTTTGTTTTTGGAGAAGTAGAAGGACCGGGTATACCGCACCCACTATATGCCACCTATGTGATTTATTTAATTCTTGCAGCAGTCTTTCCACAGAGTTACTATTTTCCTCATTTTACTGATGAAGAAATGAAGGATCAAAGGCAAGGCATTTAGCCCAGGTTTACAAAGCCAATGAACAACAGAGCTAGGATTTGAACCCAAGCTTGTCCTACACCCAGAAACCTCAGTTGCAGACTATTTCCTGCTGAGCCAGAAGGGTGCTGAGTTGGGCTTCCTGCTTGATGACTTAAATCTTCATTTTGAATTCATAATCACACTGTTAGAAGAGAGTGCCTCCACTTTCTCTCAGACTGTGCAGCCTTCATAAGTTAGGGATGGCAGACGGGGTCATAGCAAATGCTGGGCATTGTACCCCAGAGCAGCCAGCGTGGCACTGGCCACATCGTGGGACAGAAGTCAGATCCCTATTTTTCTTCCAGCCCTTTGCTGAGCAAGCAGGGGTGAGAAGGAAAGGTCCTAAAATAGTAAAAGATGCCAATTGGGAGCGCAAGCATTAGTTCACTTATTTATTCACCAAAACATGTATGAAGCCCCCACTGTGCACTGGGCACGAAGATAAAAGGATGAATAGCACCTGACTCCCTGACACAAGAACTCTCACCTCTGGAGACACGAATATACACCATAAGTGTGTGTCACTGTGACCTGGCACATAATTGAGGTGTTGCAAAGGGCTACGGGAGCTAAAAGGAGGGGATGATTAGTTCTCCTTGGGGATGAGGGTTGGGGGTGTCCAGGGAAGACTTTGTCAAAGGATGTGTCATAAGAAAACAAGTAGGTGTTCACCAGAGAGAGGAGTGGGAGCCATCAAGGATGGAGGGGGACCAAGATCAAGACTTAGCATCTACCTTCCAGTAGCAGGTACGTTCTGTGCCAGGCACTTCACCTGCTGTATCTCATTTCATCTTCACAGCAGTCCTATTGGGCAGGCTTCAGTGTCTTCATTAACGGTGGAGGAAATGAGATGCAGAGAGGCTAAGAGACTTGCCCCAAGGTCTCACAGCTGGGCATGGTGGGGCTAGATTGCCACCCAGGGCTGGCTGAGTGCACGGCTTGTGTTCCTGTTCACATTGAACCCTGCCAAAGGAGGTGCACCAGCAAAGACAGAGGAAGGAGAGGGTGCGGGGTGTTCAGAGAGAGAAGGTGGAGTAAAGAAGTGCCCCCTAAGGTGAAAAGCTATTGGGGCCAGAGGACAAAGGTTCTGAAGGTCACACCCCAGAAAATGTTCTGTGTTGCTCTGGTAGATTATTATTACAATGGCCCCCAATGAATCACCAATCCCTATATCAACATCCTTTGCAGTATGGATTGCCACTTCTTCCTACAAAAGGTAGAGTTTATTTCCCCACCCCTTCAGTCAAGCTGATCTGACTGCTTTGTGAATGTAGTGGGATGGACCTTGTGAGCATTCTAGAGCCCAGGCCTTGAGAGGTGTGAGGCTTCCAATCTCAATCTCCTGCTGCCCTGAGACCCCATGCAAGGAAGGCTGAGCCAGCTTCTTTGAGGATGAGAGTCCACGTGGAGAGAGAGATGCTGCACCCCCACCCTAGCCATATAACCATCTCAGCTGAAGCACCAGGCAGGCACATGAGCTGCCTTGGATCTTCCAGTCCTGGTCCAACTACCAGCTGAATCCAGCCTCACAAGAATGACTGCAGATAACCCTTTGTGGAGCAGAGACAAGCAACCCACTGCACCCAGCCCAGATTACAGAATTGGAAGTAAATTGTTGTCACTGTTTTAAGTCACTAAGTTTTGGGATGGTTTTTCATGCAGCAGTTGTTACTGAAATGGTTGCCATTTGGAGGTATTCTATAGACTGAATTTAGTTCAAATGACCTAAACTCCTCCCAGCTGAGTTATTCTGGAAACCCCCTCCCTGTTGAGGGCAGGCATGTAAAGGCTGGACCAGAATCCTGGGACCCATTGCATAGCAATCACGGGGACAGCTGGGTTCTCCTTTGGAAGCTGGAACCAAACAGCCTCCCCTCCTTGGTTGATCCATTTGTTTTACTGCCATTTTTCTTTCCTTTATCCTTTCATCACTGATGGTGGAGGCAGCTGCCAAAATAAACTGGGGCAGCCCTCACAGCCAGAAAACACCAACTGCCTGAATGTCTTTGCTTCTATTTGCTTCTCTCTGTGCAACATACTTTCATTTTTATTCATGTAGAATCTTCCCATTAAGGACCCAGGAACACTAGGAAGTAGAGTCTGTCTCAAAGACACCAACTGAGCCCTTAATACGTACCAGGCCCTTTATGTATATGTCTTATTCCATTTTGTGCTGCTACGACTGAATGCTACTGACTGGGTGAGTTATAAACAATAGAAGTTTATTTGGCTCATGGTTCTGGAGGCTGGGAAGTCCCAGGTTGAGCCTACCTCTGGTGAGGACCTTCTTGCTGCATCATAACATGGCAGAAGGCACCACATGGTGAGGGAAAGCAATAGATCGAACTTGAAGCTCAAGCCCTGTAATAAATGGCATTAATCCATTCATGAGGGTGGAGCCTTCTTGTCCTAAACACCTCCCATTAGGTGCCACCTCCCAACACTCTGGCATTGGGGAGTAAGTTTCCAACACATAAACTTTAGAGGACACATTCAAACCATAGCAGTATATTGTCATGATTAGACATTATTTATGCATTCCTACTGTGCACTTGAAGTGTTTGCATACCTTACCTTTAATTCTACTATACGATTGGTGCTATTACCCCATTTCAGACAGGGGAATTCTGAGGCTCGAAGGGGTTAAGTGATATGTTAGTAGGTGGCAAAGCTGGACTTTGGGCACAGACCATCCAGCTCTAGAGCTGGAGCTGTTTCCATGCTGCATAATGTTTCCTAAGAAAAGAAAAATCTGGCAACCAAGAGTCCAGGTGATGAGAACATATTGCCTAGGATACATTGAGCATGACTAAGCTCACAGGAGCAGGAGATGGGCATGCAAGAAGTTGTCTGTGTGTTGCAAAAGATGACTCTCTTTTTACTGAATTGACAGTCAAAGTGCCCTAAATTTTACCCTGTGATGTCCTGCTGCAACAGATAATTTAATGGAGTCTGGGTCTCCACCCTTCTCACCAAAAACCGCTACTCTCACATAAGCTCTTTGCACGCTCTGTCCTTGGCAACTGCCTGCAGCAGAAAGGACCTGGAAGGAGTGTGCCAGAGGGGCATTCCACACCTGGGCAGGCCTGAGCAGAAACCCCACTTCCCAGATCTGAGCATTCTTTGAAGAGCTGTGGCTGCAGGGATCACCCCTCACTGCAAGGCACTGGGGTCCAGGCTCTCTACCTGGGCATGTCACTACTTGAGGCTGAATCACCCGACAGAGAGACCAAGTTCAGGCTTTGCACACCAGTAAAGGAGGAACACACCCACAAGATGCTGTTTATATTTCCAAAAAGAAAAAAAAAATGGATGAAAATAGACCTCAAGAAGGAAAACCAGAACTTTGTTTGACTTTCTTATACCTACTTTACAGACAATTTCATATCATTGTTATTTTGGATTATTACAAGGAAGGAGGCATCTTAATCATCTCAGTGAAGGCCCTTTAAAGGCAACAATTTGTCCCCTCAAAATGCCACTCTCTGGACCACAGAACCTCCATCCACAAAAAACAAAATAATGATGCTCATTTGTGTTCTCAAACCAGGCTGGGAACTGAGGTCCCAGTTTAGGGACTGCTATCCTGGTGACTCTGAGTGAGAAGATGGGGCCCAGGAATCTGCATCCTAACACATATCCCCTGGTGATTTTTCTCCCAAGGGCAAGTCTAGAAAACT